ACATTACACACTTGCAAATGTAGACAGTCATAGTCCTTATTTTGTGAACTGCACAAACACACCATTGCCTAGAAGGATGCTTCCCCTTGGAATGTTCACTCTTCACAATTTTCACGAGGGTATATTTCCGCATATCACCCAATAGTTGCCCAGGGGTGTCCACATGAGGCCTGGGTTGGGTGGGAGTTGATGGGCTAGATCGCACTAAGTCTGTCTGACTCTGGTTCTGCCGCCACCATCTGGTCTGTAGCCCAAGCCACATTCATCAGAAATGCTTTGTATTTCAATTTCAAATCAGGGCTTAGATTTTTGTAAACCAAAAGTGAATTGAAAATGGCACAATTTATAAGCCACAAGGCAACTTTCACTTTTATTGTCTGTGGCCACAATTCTTTGTTGGCCCCTGTCACTTCCACTGTCTGAGTCACTAATCACCACTCCTCCACAAGTCAGGTCAGATAGCTCCATAAACAAGTCAGAGAGATCGCTTTGCCTTCAACAGCTTTTGTCCTTGAAACATATTCCCCTCTACTAACTTCCTAACTTCCTGTCTGGTACATAAAGAGCTGTAAGGAGCAAAGTTTATTTCCTTTTGGAGTAGGGACCCAAGCTACCCAGGTCAAGTTACTGAATACCTAGCATACATTCCGAAGATTTATTATACAGTATTCATTGCAGTTGCATGGCGCCAGAGCAAGGTATAGTGTGTTACAACATAATGTGTCCTAAAAGCCTGATATCATGAGACCGGTCCGCCATGTTTAAAAGCGAAAAGCATGATATCATGCGTCCGGTCCGCAAAGTGTTAAGCACATCTCCAGATACATCATCATCTCCTGTAGCCTTTCCATTCCTCATTTCCTTGATAGCTTTTTCCACCTCACTTTGTAAAATGTATGGTCCTTTCTCGTCTGTATCTACTTCTTCTTCCGGTTCCACTTCCAAGGTTTCTGGCCGATTAGGTCGATCATATAGTTCTGTAATATAATTTTCCCAAATTTTCAGCACTTGCCTCTCATCTACTATTCTATTTCCCTGGAAGTCTTCGATGCCAATATTTTGAATCCCATGGTTCTCTTTCCATCCTAGTTCTTTTGTCTTCATGTACATCAAATCATAACGTCCTGTCCTTTGAAATTCTATAATCTCATTACATATCTTCTCAAGATATTCCTTCTTGGCCCTGTCCATGGCTCTTTTCAATTCATTCCTCAGTCTCCTGCATTTCCTCCTGCCTTCTTCATCGTTGACATTCTTTCATTTCCTTCGCTCCTCCATTTTACTCATCATCTCCTGTGTAACCCATGGTTTTCTTGCTATCTTCTCAACTTTGCCAACCAATTTGCTAATAGTATCTAACATGCATTCTTTTATATTGTTCCACTGCACTTCAGCATTTCTGCTTTCACTTTCAATTGCACTGAGTTTCTCTTCTAGGGTCTCCTGCACGCTTTGTCTTTGAGCATATAACTTCTCCAAATCCCATCTAGGTCTGCGCTTTTGGAATCTTATAATTTTCTTCAACCTGGTTCGAAACTTGGCAACCAGTAAGTTGTGGTCAGAGTCAATATCTGCCCCAGGCAGCGTCTTCACATCCTTCACACTGTTTCTGAATCGATGTTTCACAAGGATGTAGTCCAGCTGATGCCTCCTCCAATCCCCAGGTGCCTTCCATGTGTAAAGTCTTCTCTTTGGCTTCTTTAACCAAGTGTTGGTAACAATCAGTCCATTTCTTTCACAAAAGTGAATAAGCATTTGACCCCTGTGATTCCGTCTTCCTAGTCCATGTGATCCAACAGTATTCTGATATGATTCATCTCCAACAGTGCTATTCCAGTCTCCTAATATGATGCTGTTTGTGTCACCTCTTCCATATTCCTGATGAATTTCTTCAATTGTGTCGTACACTTTCACCATTTCATCATCTTCATACTCTGATGTTAGCGTGTACACTTGCATAATCAGTATATCTACCGGTTCTGCCTTTAACTTCAGAACAATAATTCTGTCATTATAAACAATCTTAACAACACTCCTCACTACACTTTTATGCACCACTATTGACACACTTCTTTCAGCCCATTCACCTCCAGAATAATACACTGTATAATCACCACTTCTTATTTCACCTTGTCCTTTCCATCACACTTCGCTGACACCTAAAACAGACACCTCATTCTTCTGCATTTCCATTTTCAAATTCTCCAATTTGCCTGCTTGATTCAAGGTCCTTACATTCCATGTTCCAATCTTGTAGCTGTGATGTTCCTTCTGATCTTCGCACTTTTTCTTGTTGTAACGCCTGCATGACATTTCCTCTAGAAACACTCCCCCCCCCCGGAGATCCGATTGGGGGAGTAGTTTACCTCCGGATTGTTTTGTCTCCAGTGGAAACATCTCGCATACTTGGAAAGAGACTATCCAGGAAAAGTGAAAATGTGGTAGTTTTTCCATTTGCTTTCCACATCGCAGTACAAGAGCCATTCAAACCACTCTGGTCACGCCTGTTGCTATACAAACTTGAACCATCTCGAGCATCATTTGCTCTGTGCTTCAAGTTGCTGCTGATGACGCTGCTTCCGGCATCAGTTTTCGGTGTCCGTCTTCGTCTGATGCCTACCCTTTGACCTGTCCAGCAAGGGACGCCCTGCCAGTAGCTAGACTACTGCTGGTATAGCTCTCAGGGTCCTTGGCATACTCAAACCCCCTCACCATGATAAGGTGGAGCCACCAACGAGGGGGTGGTGCAATTATAGGATAAAATTTACAAGTCACTAGTTTCTCCATTTCGTGTAATGTTTTTAGGGATAAATTGACTTAGGTTAATCTAAACTTGGTTTAGACATTCCTGGATCTGCCAAAGACTTATGTGCATAATATGACATGTCATACTGAGTGTATATCATTTAGAAGAAAAACACAATACATCTGTTATGTTAAGAGTTACTTCAGCTCCTTCTTGTTTAATAATTAAACAAATTTCTGTGTTGTGAGGATTGTTTACAATGATAATGAATTTCATTACATACATACTTACATACATACATCAGCGTTTAAAAGTATTCATAAGTATGCAACCGGCACTGAATATAATACTTGTCAAACAACAGTCACAAGACACTCACAGATAGAATCACAGAGACATCAGTTTGACCATAGTTATGTGTTGGGTGTATAATGCGACAAGTAACATCACGCCTCATTTGATACAGCGAATTTATTGCACATTTGCTCTTACAATCACACAATTTACAATCTCTCAATTACTACTGCCATCTGCAGTATCACAAATTATCACATCAAATCTTCTAACCACGTATTCGGTTCTTCCCATGACTGCTGCTATAATCCAGCTCACTTCAGTGGCTGGTGGCTGCTGCATTTTAACTGACTCCTTAGGCAGTGTGATTCTCTTATAAAACCTCAGCCAGACAATGGAAAAACGCCTCACTTCCTTGTTGCCTAGTCGCTGTGTTTACAGGTGTTGCTGGGCAGCACTGTCGGGAGTTGTTTACTGCTGCATAGCAACCGCGGCATCCCTCGCTACGTCACCGCGGGGAGGGGGCGGAGTGTTAACTGGCCTATTACCATAGCGACAGCGCCCGATGTCACCGCTGGCGGGGGAGGGGATGTCCTCCATAGTGCAATACGTCACAATCTGAACTGAATACCTCAATAAAATAGATACAATGTTACACATACAATTATACCAACAAGATAGTTGACAATTCATAATAATTCTCCTTCCTACTCATATATACATATGCATGCAATGAAGAACTATTATTTGTGTGATAAATCTGTTTTACAACTGCAGCTTTAAGATTATGAATAGAATTATGAGGAGATTGATGGGTGGGGGAAGAGTAGAAAATGGAATGGGAATTATGTACCCATTTCTGCAGTTTTTCTTCATATGTCTTTGAAATCAAATAGTGTAAAAGAAATTAATTAGGTAAATGTATACGATGGGGTACCCAAAAGAAACCGAACTAATTTTTTTGTGGGCAGAGCTTTTGTAGTATGGTGTTTTGCCGCTATGAGCGCATAGAGCTAACATTCCTGAGTCGATAAGCCGACTACCATTGCTTCAGAAGGTAAGGACTAGTTTCGGCAGAGTTTATAGTGACAACTGTTTTGTGTGATTGTCGTTTTTGCAATGGCTGATTTTCGTGAACAGCGTGCGGCGGTGAAATTCTGCTTTTTGCTCAGGAAAAGTGGAACAGAAACTCTTGAAATATTAAAAACGGCGTACAAGGACGATGCTATGGGGAAAACTCAAGTGTTTGAGTGGTTTCCCTGTTTCAAAAATGGTGAAATATCAATTGATGACAAACCACGTTCTGGTCATCCTTCCACTGCCCGAACACATGAAAATGTGGAAAAAAATTTGTGAAATCATCAAGGAAGATCGACGACAGACCATTGAAGAAATTGTGGAGCTGTCGGGAGTGACTTGGAGCTCAGCGGCCAGATTTGTGGCAATCGGGTGACTGGTTTTTCCATCATGACAATGCCCCTGCTCACACAGCCCTGTCTGTACGACAGTTCTTGACCAAAAATGGTATGACCCCTGTTCCTCACCCTCCATACTCACCCAACCTTGCCCCGTGTGATTTTTTTTTGTTTCCTCGAATGAAAAGAGACATGAAAGGAAAAAACGACGGAGGCGCTGTCAAGCATCTCAAAAGATGAATTTAGACAATGTTTTGAAAAATGGAATAAAAGACTAGACAAGTGTATTAGTGTAAGTGGAGTGTACTTTGAAGGGGATTGAAGGTTTGTGCTTAAAATTTGAATAAATAAGTTTTAAAAAAGTAAGTTTGATTTCTTTTTGGTACCCCCTCATATATGGAGTTGAACAGGAGTATGGATTATTGTGTAAAACTCCATTAAATTAGCCTTTATGCTTCCTATTTGTGTTTAATCTTAGCAATAACAGTAGGTAAATATGCTATGGATGACTTAAAACATAATAATATGGATTAGTTTTCTTTCAGGTCTAATAATGCAGAGCTTTGGAAAGTCAGACCAAACTACAAAACATGATAACAGTGGAAATATACAGCCAGAGGAAGATTGTCAGCCAAAAGACCTAAGTTTCAAGTCCAGCAAAAAGATGAAGCCAATACCTCCACCACTGAACCTGGGGACAGCAAATAGTGCTCTAAAAGAATTTGCCATAATTGCAACAAGTCCTAAAAGTCCATTAATGCAGAAGAATCTTCCATTTCGTAAACGGTGAGCATTGCTTCATCATGGTGCTCTTAATTTTATATAACATGTTCATAATTACAGCATGATGAATTATGAAAGGATGCTAATATTGATTAAGTTCTAAAAGTTTGTGATGATGGTAAATTGTTACAATTAATATGTTTTTGGACATTATCCATCATCTTGTCTGTTCTTAAAAAACCATCCTGTTTCTTTTAAAAAACAGTGTTTCCGGGACTGGATACTGTCCCCGTATTCAGGTAAAACCTACTCAGTTGGTTCCAGTAGACAGAGTTAGCCCCTATCTCTAGACAACCATGCCAGTTTCAGAAGGGGTTCATAAAACAAGCACAACACAATCCATCTGTGAGAGCTAAGAAATAGTGAAGCTATCACATATGAGGCCTTGCACCAGAGAAGTATCTTGAATGAAATCATACCTGGAGAGAAGCAATACTCCTTGTGATACCAACACATGAAACAAATAGTTACCCACTCCAACTAAACTTGACGGCACCGTAATCTCTTGACTTCTGCTGTGATGACAGGGGTCCAGATGGGAGCAATATGTACACTGGGTTGACCGATTGGATGGTCCAACAGAGACATGTGGGCTGATTCCTTGTATTTCCTATATGTGGTACCCACTCCAACTAAACTTGACGGCGCTGTAATCCCTTGACTTCTGCTGTGGTGACAGGGGTCCAGATGGGAGCAATATGCACACTGGGTTGACTGATTGGATGGTCCAACAGAGACATGTGGGCTGATTCCTTGTATATCATGTATGTGGTACCCACTCCAACTAAACTTGACGGCACTGTAATCTCTTGACTTCTGCTGTGATGACAGGGGTCCAGATGGGAGCAATATGCACACTGGGTTGACTGATTGGATGGTCCAACAGAGACATGTGGGCTGATTCCTTGTATATCATGTATGTGGTACCCACTCCAACTAAACTTGACGGCACTGTAATCTCTTGACTTCTGCTGTGATGACAGGGGTCCAGATGGGAGCAATATGCACACTGGGTTGACTGATTGGATGGTCCAACAGAGACATGTGGGCTGATTCCTTGTATATCATGTATGTGGTACCCACTCCAACTAAACTTGACGGCACTGTAATCTCTTGACTTCTGCTGTGATGACAGGGGTCCAGATGGGAGCAATATGCACACTGGGTTGACTGATTGGATGGTCCAACAGAGACATGTGGGCTGATTCCTTGTATATCCTGTATGTGGTACCCACTCCAACTAAACTTGACGGCGCTGTAATCCCTTGACTTCTGCTGTGGTGACAGGGGTCCAGATGGGAGCAATATGCACACTGGGTTGACTGATTGGATGGTCCAACAGAGACATGTGGGCTGATTCCTTGTATATCATGTATGTGGTACCCACTCCAACTAAACTTGACGGCACTGTAATCTCTTGACTTCTGCTGTGATGACAGGGGTCCAGATGGGAGCAATATGCACACTGGGTTGACTGATTGGATGGCCCAACAGAGACATGTGGGCTGATTCCTTGTATATCCTGTATGTGGTGTTGGGTTCGATCTGCAAGACCTTCGCTTCATTCCAACGAATTTTGTGGTCTTTCTCATATGCATGTTGGGCCAATGCTGGAAAAATCTAAATTGGCCCAACATGCATATGAGGAAGACCACAAAATTCGTTGGAATAAAGTGAAGGTCTTGCAGATCGAACCCAACACCACATACAGGAAATACAAGGGATCAGCCCACATGTCTCTGTTGGACCATCCAGTCAGCCAACCCAGTGTGCATATTGCTCCCATCTGGACCCCTGTCATCACAGCAGAAGTCAAGAGATTACAGCGCCGTCAAGTTTAGTTGGAGTGGGTACCACATATAGGAAATACAAGGAATCAGCCCACATGTCTCTGTTGGACCATCCAATCGGTCAACCCAGTGTACATATTGCTCCCATCTGGACCCCTGTCATCACAGCAGAAGTCAAGAGATTACAGCGCCGTCAAGTTTAGTTGGAGTGGGTAACTATTTGTTTCATGTGTTGGTACCACAAGGAGTATTGCTTCTCTCCAGGTATGATTTCATTCAAGATACTTCTCTGGTGCAAGGCCTCATATGTGATAGCTTCACTATTTCTTAACTCTCACAGATGGATTGTGTTGTGCTTGTTTTATGAACCCCTTCTGAAACTGGCATGGTTGTCTGGAGATAGGGGCTAGTTCTGTCTATTGGACCCAACTGAGTAGGTTTTTCCTGAAGACGGGGACAGAATCCAGTCCCTGAAATGTTGTGTTTTTAAAAGAAACAGGATGGTTTTTTAAGAACAGACAAGATGATGGATAATGTCCAACAACATATTAATTGTTGCTAATATTGATTTTACCAATGATTAGCATAACAGGAGCTTAAGGCATACCTTTTTACAGAACAGTCCAAAAGTGCACATTGCATTAAGTTATGAAAATGCTGGTCAGTATGTTTCCAGCAGTGTAATGTGTGTCAGTTTTAGCTGCTGAAACTTGAGGAAAAAGGCAATCAGATGTCTGGGAAATTGTGTTTGGAGTTTTGTTAGATACAGTTCATTGCCTTGTTACCCTATAAGAAAGTAAATGTAAGAATAAAGCTGCAAGGTGACATCAGGAAGTAAATTGCAGTGACAGACAGTCTTAGTGTAGTTTTATTCAGGCAGCACCTAACTTTTGTTTGAAAGGAATAAGCAGAAATTGGTAGGTAAATGGAAAAATGTAATACTTGGATAGCTTGCAGGTGAAACTTTGAGATCGCTCTTCCCAGACAGTCGTTAGAACGTTAAAGTGGGCCATGCCATAACTCAGGTGGTTGGTTACTGGTTTCACACCACCTTGCCTTGGGTTTGTTCCTGGGTCAGTTCATGTGGAATTTGTGGTCGACAAATTGGTGCTTGGGCAGGTTTTATTTGAGTACTTCAGTTTCCCCTGCCAACTGTCTTTCCACCAGTTACTGCATATTTGTCACTGTATCACCCAATGATGTGTGGTCTTGATACTGACAGTGTAATTAAATGACCAACGTAGAAAAACATTGCAATTTCCACTAAATGAAGATGCCTTACCCAATTACACTCATCTCTCGATTATCCGGGGGTGGATAAACCTGTTTGCGACTTTACCAGGGCTTTTTTTTCAGGCTTATATGTTGTTTAATATTCATTCACTTTTTCACATGGTGAGTTGTACTCGTAACACTATTTTCGCACTAGTGTGAACCGAGCTCTGCATTTTTTGGTCCCGTTATGCTAACAGTGTTCTTGGATATTGGTGAAAGAATGCAAGGATTTGTGGAAAGTTTCAAGGACAGATACACCGCCCCAGTTAGTCTCTTTGTATTGATCTTCAAGTGCTTTAGCAAAATGTCAGGCTGTAAAAGGAAGCGTGTTGTGTTAAGTATTCAACAGAAACTTGAAATTATCAATCAGTTGGGGAAAAAGAGGTGTAGTTAAACAATTAGCAATGCAATACGGTATTGGAGAACAAACTGTTCGTGATTTGAATAAACAAAAGAATCAATTAATTTCCTTTGCTTTGTCTTCTAATTCAAGCGGAATGAAGAAGAGGAAAACCATGAAAAAATCAACATATAATGATCTCGACAAAGCAATGCTGATCTGGTTTAATCAACTAAGGGCACAGTGAACAACAATAGCAGGAGCACTTAGTGCTAAACAGGCACATATGCCATATATGAGATTTCAACAGCGTGGGATACAGTAAAGCCATCTGTATTGAAAAATTCATGGAAGAAACTGATGCCTTTCATCACTAATGAAGATGATGAAATCCATGGATTCACTGGATTCAGTGAAAATGAGATAGCCATAAAATTGACAAAATTGGCTAACCAAGTTCATGGTGGTGAAGAAGTCAACAAGGAAAATATAAGAGAGTGGTTTGACTGTGACTCTTGTGAGCCGGGCTTCGAAATGTTAAGCAGTGACAAAATCGTAAGTTAGTGGGGGTGCAGCCAGAAGAGCGGGAAGAAAGTGAGAATGAGGAAGAGGTGGACAGTGCTGCTAGTAAGAAAATATCACATGGTGCTGCTCTTAATTGTTTGGAATCCTTACTAGACTATCTTGAGAGTGAAGAGAACAGTTTATTAAAGTGACAAGCTAATATTACATAGGCTTTGTACGGATATCCGTAAAAAGGAAAATGCCGCAAAAAAGCAAAATTCGTAAAAAGTGTTGGATATTGTTGAACACCGTGATTGAAGTAACTAATTCATACTTCAGTGTAATGTAAAAAAATATTAAATAGGCCATGAGATGATATAAAAATGAGGTTAAATAAATATAAGTACAGGCAGGCCTATAGTATTATGAAGGCACAGTATTTCAGTACAACTTTTATTAAAATTTGTCTTAACCGGATTTTTGATTAATCGTGATTTCCATCCCCACCATTATCCCGGGTAATCGAGAGTTGAGTGTACTATTATAGTGAATAGTAACAAGCAATTCTAATATGAGACAAATAGATTCTTCATTAGAAAGAGAATGTTACATTACAGAGTGAACACATAACCCCTATACACCTACTGCTGCTGTAGGCAGTCGGTTTTATTTTTTTCTCACCATAGCTGTGGAGAACATTAGAATCATCCTCAACATGCAAGGAAATTTTTCGGACGCCAGAAACACTGTGCAGTAGTGCCATGGAGACTTGAGATGCATAATTGGCAGCCTTGTTGGAAATAGCCTTGAGTAATGTTTTGAATGTCCAATAAATGGGCGTCCCTTCTCAGTAGCTTTTTAAATTGCTGGTATCATCAAAATATATAAAGCTGATTATACAGTTTGCAATCTGGTTATTACCAGAAATGGTTATGGTGATGTGGTGTCTCATGGATCTCACTGACATTAGTTGCACACCAGATTTGGCTGTTTTGACTGTTTACAGACCAAGATAGATGGAACTACCCCTTATCTGTAATGTATGTAATGTTCAGAATATTTATCTCCATTGTCACTAATGAAGTGTGTAGATCTTGACAGCATTGTACACATTTTCTTTTCTTTATTTCAGTTCACGTATTGTTTTAATCTTGTACGATTGCAGGGGGAAATCCTTTTTGTGAGCTTCACAGGTGATGGTATACCACAAAACCTGAACAATTTGTACTAATTATAAAAAGTTAAACCGTTCCATCCAGTGTGACTGGTGAAGATTTTTCTTATTTCAATTCTTCATGCCCTTGCATGTTTTGGTCCTTAGAGACCATCATCAGAGGGACATCAATACAGTTGGAAGCTGCTATTACAGTAGATGTTCTGAGCATTAAAATATACATATAGTGTTGCTAATAGACGATTGGATATAAAATCTAAAGCTTTTACAACTACAGCAACTGTCTTAATATATTAATATTATTGTAATTGTTTGTTAAGATTTTGTTAGAATTTATAAACCAAATAGGTTCGTGTCCTCTTTCTTATTACTTCTCTTGATGGGGACCAAACGTGTGCCGCCTTGTTGTTCTTGAGAAGAAGGTTCTTTGATGTCTTCCTGTGGGTGTTTGTATGAACATGTATATATTTTTATCCTTAGGGCCATGGGTGAATAGTACTTTTGCATTCAAACCATCCACATTTTGCTGTAACTTCAAAACTGTCATAATTCAGAGTGAAATTCATACAGTTATACTGTTCACTGTGGCAGAAGAAGATTTAATTACCAGGGCGAAAGCTGAGACCTGTTTGCAGTTACCAGCTTGCTTAAGGTTTGCCAGAATAACTGGTCTTTCCAACATAGGTATGGATTAGAGACTTTATCCATGCCCTTTCTTTGCCCCCAGCAATAAGTCCAGTACTAAAATGGTAAAAATTGTCTTTGTCTTCAAGGTTCGAACTCTGTCTGCAAAGCTACACAAACAGATACAAGTATTTCCTCATGCTTAGTTCCCTAAAGATGGTCAGTGTGACAAAACTGTCACATTTTTCTCTTACTTTGTCCAAGTTCAGCTTGAATCTGGCTCACAATTACTGATGAATATCCAATTTTCAGAGCATACAGCTTTTCTGGAATGCAGGACAGTGGACAGCAACTGACGCCAAGCAGCACACACTTGGCAGTGGATGTTCCAGAGCAGCGGTTTCCCCTTCCTTCACTGAATGAGGAAACCTCCCAGGCTTCACCTGCATTCATGCGGCATTCCCCACAGCTGGACACTAAATCACACTACCCATCAAGCCCAGCTTGTTCATTTTTGGGTGCTAGTTCAGCAAGCCCCTCACACTGGATCAACAGCACATCTGTTCTGCTGAGTCCTGCTCCCTCATCTCTGGGGAGCAGTCGAGAAGAACTTAATGTAGGGGACACTGCTCGACTGACAACACATCTGTACCCATGGCCCTCCCCTGTATGGCACTGCTTTCAGCCAGGTCAGTAATGACTTTTGGTCTGGTTTGTTCTGGTTGACCTATGACTGACCTAGCATTCAGTCCTTGATGTTATTACTTGTTTGTACTTAAGGATGATGATTTTTTAATCAGTCTTGTTAAAAGTAGGAAGTTAAAATTATGCAGCTTGTTCTCCAAAATATGGAGCTCTATTTTTAGTCCTCTTGTCTTATTTCATAAGAGAAAGTAATATGATGGCATCATAATGTTTGTGTGCTTGTCTTCCCTTGCCTATCATCTGTGATATCAACAAGGCAGTCATGTAAACTTCTGATGTGGTGGCGATATTAGTGCCATGTAATATATAAAGTTATGAAATAGGAGGGGTAACAGAGCTTTGAAAAATATTAAGCTTTTGTTGAAGACATTTTCTACAGTGTAGAAAACAATAGAACTTGTGTGAAATCTGTATTTATCATGAAGTCTTCTCAGGTTATCAACAGTGTGTTTGTGGAGCTGCTGTCTGACATTTCAGAGACAGTTCTCCCAATCAACCCCTGATGATTGAGGTGAGGACAGTCTCTGAAAAAATGAACACCATATCCATATTGACATAGCTGAGCATCCGAGAAGACATCATTGTATACTGTTACTGTGAAAGCTTCAGGTCGTCAGTATATACCATTCTGTTTGACAGAGATAGTGACAGACTGCTGAAATTCTGTACAGTCATACCTACCTATACATTTTCTGTAGAATGTGGTGTGTATTTTTAGAACTATAAATATGACTATGTATGATAAATTTAATGTATATAGTGGAAATCTATGCTAATGAAAGATGCATGAAAATCTAATTAAACTAAATACTAAACTATAATTTTAATTTATAGTCCATGCTAGTCTTACCGCATACACAGTGTGTCCAGGTTCTGTTAGGACTGTGTTCATTAAAAATACAAGAGGCTCATATTGGAAACACCATGTCTCATCACCAGTAACAGTCGATTTTGTAAATTTTGTATCACTTTGGGCTGACCTTAACATGTCTTTGCAGTGTTCCACTGTGGCATGTTTTTCATCGCCAGACACCATGTGTGGTACAAACCGTGCACAGACCTTCTGTTTGCCCAAATCCTTGGTCAAATTTGATGAACAGTACTTTTTAGTATTCCGAAAAGCTCCTCGATGAGTCTAGTGTCCTCCCTGGTGTCACGAAATACAGCATACCATCGAAAAATGTTCAAGTGACTCAAACAATCACTACCGTACACACTTTTCATCATTTCATACGCTTCTCCAGCTATTTTGCCTAAATTCAAACAAAATTTGACGTTGGCTTTCTGTTAAACCGCCATTTTCCAACGATCGTCAAAACAGTACTGTTACATTCAAGGTCAGAACACATGATGCAGCAATGCTTGCGCTTTGAAATTATAGACAGCCGCAGCTGAATCTTCAAGAATCTTAACACCACAACTTGCCAACAGATGGCATTGCAGGACAAAATTAAAAAAAAAAAAAATGAGTCCTAACAGATCCTGGACCCAGTATTGAAGCATTTGAAGGAAGGTGCAGTAATAACTTCTTTCCAGAAGTTGTTCATTTTAGTATAATTTCTAATTGGACTTAGCATTTAGGAAAGCATTTGTCTGCAGGTAACCAGGATAAGCTATTTTTATTGCCCTACTTTTACATAGGGGGCTAAGGCATTTGTCTTCTACATTTCTTTCCAAACATTTCATTACAGTTAGAAAAACTCTTCACCCCCTTTATCACCTATACCAGAGCACCAGTGATGAAATTTTGATAATTTTCAGACTTGGTCATGTCTCTGGAGTAGGATGAAATTTCACAAATCTTGCTACTTTTGAATTTATGGAGGATTAGTCTTTTATAATTCTTTATGGTTTTGCTGCATCTCATTAGATTCCTAAAAAACAGGTAAAGCTATCCCTGTGACAGGGAGGCTCATAGGCTTGTGAGATATCAAGATTCCCACATTTTTCTAGACAGTCAGCTCACAGATAGCAAAGAGGTTGTCAGCACTGGCTGCCCTTTACTCCCAGGAAGATTCCTGGTACTCATGTCTGATAAAGGGCTGAGTTGACCCCAGGGCCATAGTGCAGCTGGAAGGATAAGTTCAATTAAAATATCCATTGACCTCAATGGGAATCAAACTCACAACCTTCCAGCTTGTAACATAATGCTTCAACCAACTACGCTACCACGTGCCCCCTTAGATTCCTAAAGTTGTGCAATGAAGATGACTGGCATGTGACACTGTGTTTAGTAAATCTTCACCAATATATCAGAGGAACTTGCAACCTCCTTTTTAAGGGTAGAAGATTACTTTTCCAAGTAAAGTACCCCCCACAAGACAAGAACCTCAATTCTCACAGCTTGATGAAAAATCTTTGAATCCAAGTTAAGAATATAACAAAAATTACGTGTATATATTGGATGGAACTGTGCACAAAGCATATCTCCATCATAAGCATTCTTCTCAGCACACACACATCTGCATGTATTACCTGTAGTTTTGTCTGCAGCTAAAGACAAATCTTGAGACCTTCTCTGCTGGTTACCCAAAAAGACGTAACTGTATATAGATGCAGGGGTATGTTTGAGATTTGTGTGGAGAGATGTCAGAATTATGCCAGCACAGTAAAGTGGTGAAATAATACGTGTGTTATTTATTACTGAAAACTGTCACAACACAACAATCAGTAATACGTGTAAGTAGCTCTAGGAGATAAAAAAATACTTGTGTTTTTACACATAGACTCATAGTTCTCCTGAAAAGATTTAAAATATTGGAAATCAAATTTTCCTTCAAATCAAGGTTTTGATAATGTTTGTGATAAAATAATTTTTGTTCACATGATTGATTATTCTCACCCTCAAAATAGGTATTTTGATATTGTGGCGTGTTTAAGTCCAATCCTGGTCCAATAATTCGTTTCTAGAATCCGATCCTATCCCACTTCTGACACCAGTTGTCGCGTGTTTGCTAGGCAACGCGACAAGAAATTGTGTGGGTTCTAGAATATGAACATTGCCTAGGAAACCAACCCTGATCTCAACCACTCCGGCTTTCTGGCAGCACACCACAATCTATATAGTAATAGTAAGAAACAGAGCACTTATGACAATCATGTTGTCATGTGTCCAGGATTCCGTGACAAATAATAACAGGTTCTGGATTGGATGATTGGATTTACGGGAACTTCTATTACAATTACAACCAATTATAATAGCTCACAGTCAGTGGCTTGTTGAGACTCACTCCATTCATTACTGGACTGCAAATGTCTTCTCTCCCACTGTGACAAATGAACGAAAAATCACTTGTGACTGAACTGAACTCTCCTTTTATAACTTTGAGGCAAACCAAAGAGAGACCACCACCTCAAACAGTTTAGTGTATTGCTGCATCTATTTGCTGCGTTGGGAACGTATGTTTTGCGAGCTGTGGGCCAGCAATGGACTTCTGCATCTATTCATTTCCATGGGAATATGTGTTATTAAACCTTTGTCTAGTAACAGTCCTGTTCATCATAATATCTATCTATGGCTCTGCAGCCCTTGTGGACCTTGGCTACTTTTTCAGTTTCTTAATCTATACACACTCGGTAGGATTCCTTGGACAGGGGATCAGCCTGTCACAAGGCCACTGTCTACACACAGAACAACACAAACATAATATAAATGCACACAGTCATCCATGCCTTGAGTGGGATTTGATCCCACAATCCCAGTGTTAGAGTGGGCGAAGATGATTCATGCCTTAGGTGACGCGGCCACTGTGATCAGCTGACAATCATATATATGATTCTGTCTATTATGTACAGGAGTCCGCCTGAAACTTGATCTGCCAAATTTGGATACCTCTGGAGCATGGAAGCTAGCTGAAGAACTATCCAAGTATGTTCCTGATTGGCTGGGAGCTCTCCAGGTAGAGCAGGTATTAGAAGTGGATGGTGGCATCAGGATTCACTTCACCTGCCAGGAGCAGTGGCAGGGTGAAGTGGTGGCACAGTGCAACTTGAACCACACTTTCTACATCAAAGATAGAGGTCAGTTCAGTGTTCCAATTGAAGTACCTTATAAGGAATTACTGAGAACTTTTGAATATATTGTATTTCAAGTAAATAAAATGATCATATCTTTAAATGAAACTATTTTTTGTGAATTTATGAAGTCAGTTCACTCCAGTCTACAATACAAAGACCAGTATCTTAAGGTTCATTTCATTGTTTCCTGTCATCTTTACCCCGGTCTTCCAAAAAGTTTCTCCTCTTAAATTCTGTGTTTGTTCCCATCATTGGCATAGTGTGTCCAGCACATCTTAAACAAAACTTAAAATTATTTTAAGAATGCTGTCTTCTGGGATGTGGCGCCATGTAGATCTTGTGTGAACCTTTGATGATAGTATAAAACAGCATATAATATGATTTATTTGGACTTTGTCCATGTTAGTTATTTTTTTAAATAAAAACCACAGTTTTCAGGAAAGGATTTTATTTCTCTCTTCAGGTGAAAGAATATGGAGACTTATGCTTTTGCCTTGGTCCAGGGTATGAGAGTAACTCTGCCTAGGGTCCCAGCAGATTAGTTGGAATAAAACAATTGTGACATTCCATTGTACTGTTTCAGCGTTTTCCTGAATAACAAGATAAACCACAATATCTTGGTATAGCTCATCATCCAGTTTTAGTCTGTCAGTGATTTCTTTCGTATCTTCTTTCTTTCCTTTAAACCTTTTGTGCCTATATTTTCATCCCTCTTTTCTCCCATATTCCTTTACCATCCCTTTTACTTATCTCTCCCATCACCATCCCCCCGTCAGCGTATCAAAACAAAACATGTTGCGAAAGGCATTCTGTTATGGTCGAACTGCAATAAAAATTATCCACCCTGCTTTGTACTGTGTTCTTTCAGTGTTTTCCCTGAACTTCATATGCGTCTATGGGTACAAGCAACCAAACGTTACAAAACATACTTCAGATTAGATTTATAATTGTGGAGAAAGCCCGCCAGATGCTCCTGCCATCTTATTGCAAGAGTGTGTGCTATTGAAAAGCACAAACAAACATACATCAAGATAATATAAGCATCCTGTTGCACTATACACTTCTATATGTAATAATACAAATGCCGTCGTGAATGCAACAATTTATTTGGTTGTAGTTCTTTGTCTTTTCTTCCTCTACACTACGTGTTTTGGCCACAACCGGCCATCATCAGGTGTATCTTTCACTATGTAGCTGTCATAGTGCACACAATCTAAAATCTAAAACACCAGCCTATCAGTTTTGTTTAAAATCTCGCCAACATACGCTCGTCAATTTGATTTTAGAATTATAATTTAAAATTTTGTAACTTTCAAAATTCAAAATTTAAAGTTTTAAATCACAGGGATAACCGCTCTGTGTCCACATGTGCTGCAGTGGTTATTTCTTATTTTCAGCACCGTTCACGTATTATTCTGTGCAGGCTCCCTCTACAAGAAGGGTGGGCCAGGCTGGCCCAGAGCGGTGGCAGGAATGTGGAACAAGTTAGAGAAGCTTTTCGGTTCAGGCCACTAAAGTCCATTTGCCGAGCTAGTCAGCAGCCACAGACACCACTTGTAACTGTATGACAGGTTTTGAAGAAACATTTGCATATGAAGCAGCACAGACTGCAGTTGCTTCAGGTTCTAAGTGACAATGACAAAGGAGCTGGGTCAACTTCTTGTGTGGATTTTGTTGCTTTGATACTAGATAATGAAAATCTCATGTCTTAGGTAGTTCTTAGTGACAGAGTGACCTTTGATGTGTCTTACAGGTTAAATACACACAATTCCCTCACTTTTTGCCCGCAAAACCCAAGGGCTTTTGTCAAGCTGTGACATGACTCTCCAGAGGTGAATGTGTTTTGTGCATTATGGGAGTAGAAAGTATATGAGCCATTTTTCTTTGCCGAGAACACTATTACAGGTTCTGTCACTCTGTATATGGTACGGAATTGGTTGTGGCTACAGCTGATAGATAACATTCATGTCGATATGTTACTTAGAACCTGGCAGAAGTTTGAATACAGTCTGGATGTTTGCTGTGCTGTGTCAAATTCACATATGGAGAACTTGTAACTTATGCCTTATAATTTGTGACTAGCAGCACTTGGAATAAAAACTTGACATTTGTCCCTGGCTAATATGTGTTTGAAATTTCATTATTTGTAAATTATATTCAAGGAGATAAAAAAAGGTAAAGTTGTCCCTGTGCTTAAATAATTAAACAGTACATTATGAAGGAGTATGGGGGAGTGGATGTATAGATCCACATTTTCTTGACCTCAGCACTAGCTGGAGGTGGGTGGTCAGCTTCAAGCCCCTGCTGCTTTACCCCCAGAGAAAGAGTCCCTGGTACTCATTGGATAGGAGGTTGGGTGGACCCTAGAGCTGGTCTGGACAGCTTGGAGGAGAGAAAATTGTTGCCCCCACCAGGACTCAAATTCCGATCCCTCGGTTGTCCAGTCCATATCCAGTTGCTATACTGAATGTGCTATCCCGGCTCAGAGATATAAGTATTTTAAATCAGTCATGTCCTTATAATGTAATCTATATAAGATTGTTGGTTTGATATGTATTCACATCACACAAGCTATTGACTTTCCTGGCATCATTAGAGTTTAATTGTTTCTTGCATCCTGTTGTGTATTTAATCAATATTAGAGTTGTTGCCTTGTGTTTTCAGGATGGTGTGCTGTATGCCCAGATCATGTGTTCAAACAGTATGGAGTGTCTTGTCAACTCCTGGAACAGACTGATATTTGCCTACCTAGCTCAAGACTGCCACTTGTCTCTCCAGACATATGTGATAGGTTCAAGAGGTATGGGTAAAGCTTTCGTAATGTGGAAGTGTTGCACATGCCTTGTGCTTTATTTTTTTATTGCCAGTGGGGTGGGACTAAGTCCGTTGTACTGTAGCCATTTCTGACCTATTGTACCAGCCCCAGATGATAGGTGAGGGTGATAGTGGAGCAATTGGTGGGATGAAGATTGGCAGGGGAAACCAAAGTACTCGGAGAAGACCTGCTCAAGCACCACTTTGTCCACCACAAAGCCCACTTGACCAGACCCAGGATTGAACCCGGGCCGCTGCCTTGGGAAGCCAGTGACTAACCGCTTGAGCTGTGGTGCGGCCCTTGTGCTTTATTTAGTTCTGATTTAGCACATTGAATCCTATCACTATGTGTTGCTCCCAGATGGTGAGCAATGCAATAGTACAATTCTGCTTTCAAAATTATGCAAAAATTATTTTATGTATATAGTATTGATACTTTCAGTCAACACACATGGCAGGTCTGACCACCCATTTTTGTTGTATGGACAACTTCAGCAAAATGTGGTCTGTATGCAGGTAGCATGAAGTTCAGTACACAAAATGTGGAATGTATTTATGGAAAATGCAATTCACAATTTAGGCTAGTGTGTCTATATTTTTAGCACACGCAAAATTAATTAGCAATATAATAAATGTCTCCATATCTCAACTTTTTAAAATATTATGTACATCTTTGTGAAGTGAAGCAAATGGAAGACAGACAATCATATGGTGATTCACATATTGATTATTTTAATATAAAGACTTCTGCAAGAAAACCCATAGAATAGTAAAAAAAAAAACATGTAAAATAGTAGATTAATGGATATCAGATCTGTCTAATAAATCTTGGCTTTCTTCATTTTATTAAAGAAAATGAAGCATGAGTATATGTAATGTTTTCTCAGGAAAATAGTCCATCTGAACAAAGTCACGATGTTCAGTGCAACACTTAATGCTGCATGTCTTCAACTAGTTTATTATACATGTAGATATGAAAGTGTTTTGTAGTAACAACTTATACAGTAATTTAGATGTTTATCAGTTAATGGTATTCTGTGCTTTGACATTAGTATTTTCATAGTTGAAACACCAATTTACTCAAGTAAAACTGAAACAGGCACCCACCTTTAATGACAGGAATTCATTGCAATACTTGGTACTGCATCTCTTCAGTGTCCACTCTCATACTATTGTTTAAACGTTTATCATTTGATGATTATCTGTATTTTAACTTTACTATTCTCAATATTAAAAACTGATTTGCTTAAGTAGAACTGAATAACTGAATGACACATGTTTTTAGAATAGAATTCTCTGCCAGTGGCACTAAATTCCAAGTGTCCTTGTTCACAATTAAATACTCGTTAAACACATTACAGTCTTCAGAAGAACTTCTTTTAGATAAGATTTCTTTGGTTTTATACAAATTAATGAAAGCCATAAAGTATAAGTGGAAGCACCACTGCCCAGCTTGCATTTATCACGTCCACTATCCAACAGTACTGCATGCCAGTTAGTATAGACATATTACATTTATCTTCCAGTGTCCAACCACTTTGTTCCTCTGAAAAATGTTTATAATGTTACAATGTTGTAGATTCAGCTTCCCGCCAGAAGGGTTGGGAACACCACCACATCTGCCATCACCTTCAGATCTTGCACATCTCCCACCACCTGACTCATTTCTGTCTCCTCCCACATCTCCTACCAAGAAGCTGAGGGATGCAGATCGGCCTAAGAGACCAATGAATGCCTTCATGCTTTTTGCCAAGAAATATCGTCTGGAACTGATACAGCTGCATCCAGGGAAAGATAACAGGTAAATATACACTCCTGTTTGATGGGTTTGTAAATGATTCATCTGCACTGGCTCTTGATGACAGTTAAGGCTTTAGACAGGAGTCGGATGGTATTAGTGTTGATGTTCATTTTTAGTTAGTTGCCAATCTAGTCATATTACATAGAACACTGTAGAGAATCTCTTTTTGGAGGGGGGTGTAACTCTGTACTATAACAACAAAACTTGAGATAAAATTTGCAGTTCCTGTGATTACAGGCACTCCAATTTGGGGAGTAGAATTTATGAAAAATAAGTGCAAAAGAATTCAGTAAAAGTTTCCAATGCACACACCTTGAATAATTACATTCATTTATTATGAAAGTATCGATAAGGAAATACAGCATAAATACAATGTACTATCCAAACATTGTTTACAGTGGTGTTATCTGATGGAATAAGAAGAGCCTATAAAGTCTTGTTACCCTGCATGCTGAATGTCCTGTCTTACCCATCACATCCTCCATTTCTACAATGTACAACATTGTGAGGTTCCATTTTCTGTTCCTTCATCTTTCTTAAGGCATAATACTCTGAATTTTATTGTCAGTTCTTCCCTCAGTGTGAAAGATGAGGTTTTATATCTATGTAAAACAATAACAATTTTATTTAAATCTTAAACAATTTTGGAGATGGTAAGTGAAGATAAAAAGGTTCTGAAGTGAGGTAACAAGTACTTCCCAAATTTAATATCCAATAAGTTCATCATTTCCGGTCACAGTAGCCGAGTGGTCTAAAGGATGTACTGTCTTCGCTCGCTTGGAAACTGGGATCATGGGTTCGAATCCCACTCAGGGCATGGATGTTTAGTTTGTGTGTGTGTGTTTTCCTGCATTTGTGTACAGGTAGAGTTCTTGCGACGAGCTGATCACCCGCCCAAGGAGTCCTACCGAATGTGTAAGATGTAGAAAAACCGAAGTGAATGGAGAAGTTCATGGAGGTAGGCCTAGGCCCACTGGGGCTGTAGTGCCAAGGGAAGAAAAAAAAGTTCATCATACTTTCATTTTTATATGAATTATAAGATACAGCTCACATGACTTTGGCAAGAGAAACTAGACATAAATCACCCTTGCTTACTAAATTTCCATTGTGATTGACAGAGCCATCAGTGTTATTCTTGGTGAGGCGTGGCGCAACCTGCCTGCAGTTGACAAGGAGGCGTATGTGACAGAAGCAAGAATCATGGCACAGGAAAGGAAACGCCTGCACCCAGACTGCTGGAAGCGGAAGCGCTCACAATCAGCTGGATTCATAGAAACGTAAAGTTAGGTAACCACATGTCCAAAAGTAATGAATATCATGCCTTAGTGAATGGGTAAACCAAAACTGTTGCAAAATGGTTCTCGCTGCAGTATATAAACATTGATAATATGCACTCAAAGACAGATGGCATAAAATCAGTATTTCTTTTTACTTTAGTGAATGAATTGCAGTGTTTATGCTGTTAGAGCGATTTTTTTTTTCTTTTTAGATATATGTGTATTTAAATATACCATATACATTTGTATGTGTTTTATGGATATTTTACAGTCATGTTAGATGAAAATTCTTGTCTTTCTATTATCAACACTGAATACTACAGTATACTGAATTTATTGTGGGGAGGAGGGTACATCATCACTTAGAGAGCGTTATGTCATTAGAAAGTTACTGGATTGTATTTTAAGCATATTCTGGTATCCATGTGCCAGTGAGAAATTCAGGCATACTTACACAGGATTATTTTGCCATCTTGCCTACATAAGGTATGATGTACCCTGTCCATTATATTTCATTTCAGCATCCTGTTGCATTTGATTGTTGACCTAATGTTTTTCACTGTATTATTAATGCGTTGGCATATTTTATGATGGCTGTGTGGCAGTTGTCTCACTGTCACATTCAACTCTCTTATTTTTGCATATTTGTAGGACACATTTCAGTCTATGTAAGACCATCATCAAGTTTTTAAGGACACATTTCAGTCTATGTAAGACCATCATCAAGTTTTTAATCAGTTAATTTATATAATGTCATGTTTAATAGTATGTAATATTATATTTCAGCATCCTGTTGCACTCTACACAATAAATGATACAAACTCCGTCCCAAGTACAAACAATATATATTATATGTCTTTGATCTTGTTCTCTTCTACACTACATGTTTCGGCCTCTATCGGCCATCATCAGGTGTATACTCTTAACGTTGCTGCCACACTGAACCCAGTCTAAAATTTAACATTTAAAAACACATTGTATGAGTATGTGTTGCTCTCAGGCATAGAGTGTGAATGTGTTAGTATGTTTAATTTGGGGAGTGGGGGGGTGTGTGTGTGGTTTGTCGGAGTGGCTGCTATCTTCTTTGTAGGATTTTGATGTTGTGTGTGTGTCTACACACGTGCATGCTCACTATTTCTGTCTTTTAAGTTCTTTCCTTTCTTTCTGGTCACTATGATGAATTTCAACATAATACTGCAGTTTGAGCCTACAGGATGCATTGCTTTATAGTGTTCATCAAGTTATAAAGAAACAGATTTATCCAAAAGTTCATGATGATGGTAAAAAAGTAAGTAATCAAAGGTATCCTTCTAACAGGCCATGGAGGCCCATAGGGTTGTGAGATGTTGAGGTTCCCACATTTTCTAGACAATTGGCTCATAGATAGCGGCAAGGTTGTCAGCCCTACGTGCTCGCTGCCCTTTACCCCCAAGAATATTCCTGGTACTCATTTCTGTTAGAGGCTGAGTTGATCCCAGGGCCATAGTGTGGCTGGAAGGATTAGGTAAATTGAAAAAATTCAAGGGCATCATTGGGACTTGAACCTGTGACTTTCCAGCTTGTAGCATAGTGCTTCAACCAACTACACTACCACGTGCCCCCCGATGTTGGTATGTTAATGGAATTATTGTGTTTCTGGACATTATCCAACCTGTTTTTATTTAAAACAACATTTTGGAGACTGGATTCTGTCTCCATTTTCAGGTCGAAACTACTCAGTTAAAAAATCTGCACTCATGAAGCTTAGCACCTATTTCACACCTGTTGTTAAAATCAGAGTATTATCAGAATAGAAAATCGTGTTTTTATGTTGGTACCATACAGAGAATTTGTCTCTTTAGTGTTGACTTCTGATAGTACTCTAATTCAATTCAATTCATTTATTTCATCCATAGCTGTAGAAATTACAATTGGACATGTCAGATAACAACAACATTACATGAAGCATAACATTCAAAGTACATGAATATAGAATAATAAATAATAAATACCTAAGACTAGAGAAAATATTTAAAACATATATACAGATTGTTTACAACATACAGACTATTTAAAACATATTCCTGTACATATGAATAATTTATCTAAAACAGATTTATTTGTCAACAAGCAGTCCATATCAACAGTTGTTAAAAAATTCCTGAAGAGAATAAAAGACGTTACACAACAAATAATTTTTCAGCTTCTTTTTAAAAACATTAAAATTATTTACACTTTTTAGTTCAGTCGGTAGGCCATTAAATATTTTGGTTCCCATACCAATCACCCCTCTTTTGCAGCGCTCAGTATTGCAAAATTGAACATACAGATTGTGTTTATGAATAGTATTATAGCCATGTACGTCAGAATACTGGGTAGTATATATCCTATTTTTTATTATAAAACATAAAATCTCAAATATATATAAGGAAGTAACTGTTAGAATCTTAAATTCTCGAAACAAATTTCTACAGGAGACTCTATTTCTTACACCTTTAACCACCCTTAAACATTTTTTCTGTAGTTTAAATAGAGTTTCAGAGTCCTTTTTCACCCCACCCCAAAAAATAATACCGTATTTCAACACGGACTCAAACTTTGCAAGATACACATTTCTTAATACAGATTGGCTCACAGAGTCCCGTAAAGATTTAATCAAATAAAGAGTCTTGCTAAGTTTTTTACAAACATATTGGGTGTGGGTTGCCCAACTTAAATCCTCAGTAATACAAATACCCAGAAATTTTACATCTGATGAACAAACTACCTCCTTATTATTTAAAGAAAAAATGGATCTAATAATTGGAGTAGATCTACTTCCCCGAAAAAAAATTACCTTAGACTTTTCAGTGTTTATTATTAAATGATTTTCATAAAACCATTTTTCTAATTGATTCTTTACATTTTGAATTTTTTCATTTAATGATAACATGTCATTTCCAGTAATTAATATATTAGTATCATCCGCAAATAATACTACCTCTGCATTTTGTATGATTCGGGGCAGATCATTTATGAATAATAAAAATAAAAGGGGTCCTAAAACAGAACCCTGAGGTACACCATGTTTAATAGCCTTAAGAGATGAGGTAAGTGTCTTTATCTTAAAGGTCTTTTGATCCATATGGTGAATTTCAACAAACTGGGTTCTGTCGGTGAGATACGATCTCATCCACGCGTGAGCTATTCCTCTCAGTCCATACAACTCCAGCTTTGCAAGCAGCAAGTTATGATTTATAACGTCAAAAGCTTTCGACAGATCCAAAAATATACCAAAAGCAAATTGTTTATTATCTAGGGTTTTTTGAATTTGTCCAATAAAAGTTTGAATTGCAGTAAATGTGGATTTATTCTTTCTGAAACCATTTTGAGCATTCGATATCAATTTGAATTTATTTAAAAAGTTTACAACTCTATTATACATTAGTGTTTCAAGGATTTTGGAAAATACAGACAAAATTGAAATTGGTCTATAATTGGTAATATTTTGTTTCTGACCTTTTTTAAAAATGGGTCGAACTTTTGCAATCTTCATTTGATCAGGAAAGATACCAGAGCTAAGTGACAGATTAAATATAAAAGTCAAAGGCTTTTTTATGAATTGGATACATTGTTTAACTATCATATCCGGGATCTCATCAAAACCCGCTGAGATTTTTGTTTTTAGTTTACTGGTGACCTTTAGAACCTCTTCTTCAGTAACAGGGACAAGAAATAACACATTTGGGTTCAGTATTATATCATTTACAGTGGCATGATCATTTTTACAGTTTCTATTTAAATGTATCAACCTGTCCACGCTATTTACAAAAAATTCATTAAATTGATGGGATATATCCTGGGGATTTGTAACTAGCATAGAATCAATTTCTAATGAAATATTTTCAATTTCTGTAAAGCCATTTCCTGACTCCTTCTTTATTATTTGCCATAGAGTTTTAGAATTATTGATTGATCTTTGAATGATTTGGTCATTTTCTCTTTGACGGGCAACAGAAATTACTTTTTTATAAATTCTCTGATATTTTTTTATATAGTTCAAGGTGTGAACAGACAGAGCCATCTTTCTTTTTAACAGATATAATAGTTGCAGCCTCTGTCTAGAAACCTTTATCCCTTGAGTGATCCAGCCTGATTTTTTCCCTTTCTTGCTAAAGACCTTTTTTAAGGGGAAGATATGCAGAAAATACTTAAGAAACTTACTTAAGAAAACACAATAGGCACTATTTACATCAAATTGAGAATAGACCTCGTCCCATAGTTCAATTTTTAGTTGATCATTAAAATTTGCAATATTTCTTCTTGAAAAAATCCTTTTCACAACATATTTTGAACAGGTGGAAGGGCTATGTACAAGTACGCTCATGACCAACGCAAAATGGTCAGAAAATCCCATTTCTACAACCTTTGTGGTTGAGTGGTAAAATATTTTATTTCTAATCATAACATCTAACAAGGAACGTGTATTTAAAGTAACTCGAGTTGGGCATAAAACCGTGTTTTGTAGATTATTTGATATCAATAAACTTTGTAAAGCCTTCTGGTGGGTATTTTCCTCTAATAAATTGATATTCCAATCCCCACATAACACTAAAAGACGCCCCTTTGTTAATAGCTTGTTTAAAGTTTCGTCTAACAATTCAAGGAAAATTTCCTTGCTACTATTTGGGGATCTATATATACAAACAACTGTAATTTTAAAATCCACTAGCTCAATGGCTGAAATTTCAAATACCTTTTCCCTTGCTAGATTATTTAAAAAAGGAAGCTCTCTAATTTTTAGATCGTTTAAGGCAAATATACAAGTGCCCCCATATCTGTTTGAATTTCTACAATAATTTGCCACCAATTTATACTGATTAATATTTATATGTAAAAGATGGTCTTTATGAAGCCAATGTTCTGAGAAGCATAGGATGGCAGGCTTTAGTGACCACGAACTCAAAAATACATTTAAAGCCAACACTTTGTTTCCCAGACTCTGAATATTATGATGCAAAATACCCAAATTTTGTAATTTTTGTGGTCCATCATTACTAGAATTACAGGTAATAGGACACCATGAATCTACCATAAAAATCCTTATCTTAATCCTTATTTTAACAATAGTGGTGAAATAGCACATGCACATAAGTGCTAGGGTTCATGTATGTAGAGTTGTTTTAATGTTGTTAATGTTTGTCTTAACTCTTGCAGATGGTTTGTGCTGTTTGGTTTATATACCCTATCTTGTGTTGGTGCTAGTGTCTGGAGATACGGACTGGCTCTGTTGATTTGGCCCCACTAAGTAGGTTCCACTTGAAGATGGAGACAGAATCCAGTCTGAAACGGTGTGCATTTTAAACAAAAACAGGCTGATGGATAATGTCCAGAAACACAGTAGTTACGTATATATTATACTGTTAACTTTAATTTGTAATTTTTAACTAGTTCTTTACTTGGAAGAACATGAAAACAGTTGTCTCAACTTGCCAGAAATATATATACTGTCCTGTACACACCAAAACATGTTGTATAAATAGTGGAAAACAGCAAATGGCTTGTGACAATGAGACAGCAGCCACACAGGCATTGCAAAACTTGACAGAAACTGTGTTAATGAGACAGTAAAAACACTAAATGATGTACCCTGGTTTGTAGAATAGATAGACTTTGCTACACATTGTCATATTTGCTACTTCCTTTGAGTAATAACTGTTGAGAGAGCCTGAGCTAGGATCACAAATTGAAATTGTTTCAGAGCAAAGTAAAGTCCTAAGAAATGAAGTAAGTCAGGAATGGAAAATAGTGTAAAATGAGGAATAATGTGATTTCTACAGGTCACCTAGTGTTTTAGGACA